TCCCAAATGCAATCACTGATGAATACATACACACCCTCACACTCAATGATCCACATAATCACAATTAGTGACCAATGCACACACACATTTGCAAAAATGACTTGTGTTGGCTGACACACACACTATGTGTGTGTGTGTTTGTGTGACCCGAACAGACACACACACACACTGTCCCTAGCAGACACGCACTGTCCACAGCAGACACACACTGTCCCTAGCAGTCACACACACTCTTACCTTAATTTCATATTGGCTCCTCAGTGTGAGTTGCTGTCTCGCTCTCAGCTCCGCCTCCGCTATTCTCCTGCCCACTTGACCCAGAGTACAGGGCAATCGCCCTTGTGCTGCCATCTTTTTCAATGGGTGTGAGGCGGCTCTCTTTGGTCATTGCGTGCGGAGGTTGATGCCACCGGGTGCTAGTCTGCATCTATGTAAGTGCTCCCTAAAGTCCGGTGGCATGATCTGCGGCACGCAGTACAGAGTTAGTCCTTCATAGAGGGAACAAGACTAGCATTAGAACTGTTTACAACCACGGTTAACCACTTCCACCATGTTTCATCATCCAGACAGCTATAATGTAAGAGACATCCATGGCAGGTGTTGAGTTACACTAGGAAGTCAGTTTGGGAGATGTGGTAGGAAACAGCGTAAATCATTTTCTGACTTCTAAGCGTGGCTTATTTTAACAATCTACTGTTGGTTAAACTTAAGCATTGTAGAGGAATACGAAGCAGCTTCTCTTTTTGTGGATTTGTCTATCTGTGGCCATGCATGCATGATATGTAGAGTACAGGCTCATAGAATGCTAGCCAGATTATTTAGGATGTTTGGGACAAATGCAACATTATACAGACCTCAAGACCTTCGACCATATCTTCCCTATTTGACATTGTGCAGGGTGTAGCTGCAGCAATATATACGTTATTTAGTTATATGCTCACACATACATACATACACAATTAGTCACGCACATACACTATCAACTCATACACCAAGCTACCCATCCACATGCACGCTGCAGGAACTGCTTGTACAAACCTAATTAGCTGTACTTATAGTACAACAAGTAAAGCTTTCTCCTCTGACCCCGAAACACATCTATATAGAACAATGTGTGCTGCTCAAGCTCCTTACTATTAGGGTAATGCATCATGGATTATTATTTAAATGTAGGTTTTCTTTTCTTTTAATAACTAAAATTGGAAACCTCACCTGCAGTTCTTGGGACTCTATTAGACACCACTTTTCTATACAGGAAAACTGAATTGACACTGTAATAGCATGCGTATGCTTCGTATCACACATAGCAGCTCTGGATTTGAAATGTTGTTATATGAAATTTTAATTTAACTTTCTTAAAAAGGCACATTTCAAATTAGGTTAAAAAAAAAAAAAAAAAAAAAACTAAATCAAAATAAACATGTTTGATAGAAACTAATATTAAAAAAATGATCAGTTCACGGTTTACCCCTCCGAATTTTCACCAGTTTTTACTGGTGAAATCTATCATTTCCCAGCAAATAGTGCACTGACGGGTTAATATAAACGCAGAGAATGAGAAGTGTTTTTCATTATGACATAGCTAGATAACACGTTGGGGAATTTCCCTTTGTTTAAAACTTCAATAAAATTATTTTATTAATATATATTGCACACGAATACGAGAGAAAAAGGTCAGGATGATTTATTAGGGACCATTTAAAAGATGAATCTGATTACATTTAATCTTCAAACTGGAAATATATATTTAAATCAGACACTTGGAATTTCATTTTGTAATGAACTTTTAAAAATTCTAGGTTGCGATGGTTTACAGTGATATTTCTGGATTGCAAAAGCAGCTATTCCGTTTCTTATACTTATTAATATTAGTATGATACTGAGCCTGTGGCCAATCAATATGTACCATTTGGACAAAAATATATATTAGAAATATTATTGAGTTTTTAGTTGGGTGATGTAGCATTAAACATTAGACCACATTTTGATAGTTGTTTTTTTTGTAATTTTATTTTTCAACATGGTACGAACTAAGCTAGAATTCTAGGCCTTGATATAATATTTTGAAAAATATTTTTAATTGTGTAATATTTAGATTATTTTTGAACATACTGATTTATATTTGATATTTTTTTTTTTTAAAGTTTATCCAAAAATATGAAATCATTTGAAAATCTTATCCAATGATATTAACATGAGGCTTGAGATATCTATTATATCCTAGGTGTTCAGAATATTCATTTTGAGAGGTATTCTTCTAGTGGGTTATAATTGAGAGAGACAGACTCTGCGTTGTGAATGAACACATGTTGTGCATGTGACTCGGGCAGCCGCTGTATGCAGCCCCATTCAGAAAACTGTTAACTGGCTGCTATCAGCATATTTTGCAGTTCCGTTTATCCAATATAATGAATGGAACTGCAGCTGAGGGCGAAACATGTCACATACAATAAATCTATATAGCAAATCCTGATAAAACAGTAAAATAATTAAACTAATAACGAAAAAATGCAAACCGGCATTCTGTGGCGCACCCGACTATCTTGTTAACAGTATGTGTAGCTGTCACCATAAGCAAGATGGTTTCTTATGCTGGACTATGGGGTAATCATAAGGGCTGCACTTTCAAGGAGAGAGATGTCATAGACTTACCCGGTGCCTGCGCCGCTCCCCTCCTCAGGCAGCACAGGCAGAATGCACAATGAGGCATCTCTGTAAACCGCTTCCTCTGCTGGTTCGTGGGCCGAACTACAGGTCCTTAAATAACTTTGAGGCGACCCCATGCTGTTTGGAGTCACAGAGATGACATGGACCAATGAAAACACATGTGAACCTGTGAAACACATGTGAACCAATGAAAACACATGTGAATTCAGGCCCTTGCTCATTGCCCTATTGTGGTTTCTGATTAGTAACACGTTTAGTGCTCCTGCAACTTTCTTGTGTTTCCCTCTTACTGAGCTTGTCTTTGTTTTGACTCTAACCTCTGGTATTCTGACCCAGCTTGTATATTGACCTGTGTATTTCAACTATCCTGACCTGGCTTGTTTTTTGTGTATCTGTATCCTTGACCTCGGCTATTCCTGACTTTAATTCTCTCTTGTAAATCATTAAATCTGGCCACTCCAAGACCCAGTAATACGATTTTTGGACCCTCACTTTGTGGCTATCCCTTTTCCTGTGTGTAAGGGTAACGACAACCTTGACAAGAGAGTGCTGGATCTGGTAATAGGGATGATTGATATAAAAATAATTTGAAAGGGGTGGAAAAGACATGTGAATAGGATTGGCAAGAAAGTGGGACAAATCACGTATAAACACAGCCTATTTAATAATGAAGATTAGTACTGAAAGACAAAATGCATCTGCTTTTTTTTTTACATTACAGGCGGGACACCAGCAACAACTGAAGCAGCCTGCCTGAAGCCAGTCCTGCTGATCCGAGTCATGTGATCGTGAATACACTGATCACATTATTTGGAATGGCATGATTGACAGATTGCCTACAGAGGAACTGGCTGGGTTGTATAGAATCACATAATTATGTACAAATAAGGAATAAATATATATTATTCTACGTGTATATTTATGTATTATTTCTACATAATATTTTTCCAAAACACCATAAAACCTATACTCAGTGGGTACTGTTGTACTTGTGAGACATCACTGAACACAAATATAGAAACATAGAATGTGAAGGCAGATAAGAACCATTCAGCCCATCTAGTCTGCCAATTTTCTAAATACTTTCATTGGTCCTTGGCCTTATTTTACAGCTCGGATAGCCGTTTGCCATTCTAGCATTTCCTGCTGCTCTATTACATTGTCTGCCTACCTTTAAGTCATCAGAAATAATCACCCCTAAATTCCTTTCCTCAGATGTTGAGGTTAGGACTATCAAATATTCTATTCTCTGCCCTTGGGTTTTTACGTCCAAGATTCATTATCTTGCACTTGTCCACATTAAATGTCAGCTGCCACAGCACTGACTTTTTTTCCAGTTTACCTAAATCATTTACCATTTAGCTTATACCTCCTGGAACATCAACCCTGTTACATATCTTAGTATCATCAGCAAAAAGACACCTTACCATCAAGACCTTCTGCAATATCATTAATAAAAAATATTAAAGAGAATGGGTCCAAGTACAGATCCCTGACATACCCCACTGGTAACTAGACCATGCTTCAAATATACTCCATTGACTAGACCCTCTGTTGCCTGTCACTCAGCCACTGCCTTACCTATTCAACAATATTGAAATCTAAACTTAAAGATATGAGTGTTTTAGAGCAGTAAAATGTATAATGACAATGATATCTTTGGTGAAAGGGACGCTTTTGTGTGAAAAAGGCAAATATGAACACCAACTTTGACCCAGGGATGTGACTAAGTGGCTACTAAAAAAGACTGGACATACTCCATTTTGAATACCCTGTGTTGTCTACCTTTGCAAATGTGTTGCAATTATGGGGATAATTTTCATACAGTCTCAAAGGCAACATAGGCTCAGCAATCTCTCAAATCTCAATGTGCATAAACTGAAAAGGGGAAAGTTCTATATTTGACCCTGTAACTTTCCAACAACTCACAAAACCCGTACATGGGGGGTACTGTTGTACTCGTGAGACTTTGCTCAACACAAATATGTGTATTTTATTGCAGTAAAAGCTAGCAGTATCATGACATTCACAGTTAAAATGCCATGCAGAAAATAATAAAACTTCTTAATTTCTCACTCTTTAAATTTTTTTTTTTTTATTTAAAAATAAATTTATATGTAAAAGTGTAACGAAAGCCTTATTTCTTCCGAACAAAATGATATATAATAAGTGTGGGTGCACCTAATATAAAATACGTAAACTATGGTTGAACAGACATACAGCACAAATTCCAGGTTTTGTTTCAAAACTTGTACCTTTGCCTCTCGCCTCAAGGGGTTAAGACAAATAATACATTTATTGTGTATGCTAATATATGTATTTATTTACATCCCCTTTGATCATGCAAAGTTTCTGAATTCCCCTAGAATCTCCCTTAAATCACCTGGACAAGATGATACATCTAAACCACATACTTACAGAAAAATGAAAGACAACTCCCGCAGTGATATACTATACAATGCTTGCTGTCATATGGCAAGTCACACTTAAGAAGTAATTCTATGCCTTAAATATAATATAATATTTTCTAATTTGCAATGAGTTCTTCCTTCTCTGAGAATGACCATACAAAGGTGAATAAAACATATAGTACAGATTGAATTAGATCGACATTTTTTATATTATTTTATTGCACGTACATAGATAACATAAATCAATTTTAAATTCACCAAACTGGTGATTAAATTTAAATGTAACTACTAAGAAGGGAAAAAAATGCAAATATGGTTACTATAATAAATAGAGATATATATTTCGACTATTTCATATAGACTCATGGACACAGAGGCATGTGTAGTGTTGATATAAAACACCGTAAGTCGAAATCATTCATCAAATGAGAACGAATCTTCATTTTCAGGATATTAATGATTCTTTTTGAGTTTTAACTGCTCTAACTTTGTTTTTGTTTTATATATATATATATATATATACACACACACACCATTGTACAGCGCTATGGAATCTGATGGCGCTATATAAATAATAAAATAATAATAATATAAAGACCAATAGTATAGTGCTCCTCCAGCCTACTAAGGGGGATGGTATGGTGCCCTTAGGTGACAGTCAGAAGGAGGACCTTGGGCAACGAGGCTGTGCTGTAATAACTGATCATTGTTTATGTAGTGTTGCTAGGTGTGATTGAATTTTGCTTTAGGCTCATCTTATGAATGGTATGAGGCATATAAAATGAGCAGACGTATAAAAGGAGAGGAACATGATGTATGAAGGATAGAGGATTTTAGCTACATCCATATATGGAATTGAAATGTACTGCACCAAGACAACAGTGACCCTGTGTGTCTGTGTGTATCTGTTTGTATGTATATCTGTGTGTTTGTGTATTTGTCTGTATGTGTAAATCTGTCTGCATGTGTATCTGCATATGTGTCATTGTGTGTCCCTGTATATGTGTGTATGTCAGTGTTTGTATCTGCATGAGTCTTACTATGTTTCTGAAACTGTTTTCTTTTTTTGGGAGGGATGGTTGATGTGGAGGGCTTGATTAAATGCCAGGGAGTGTAGGCGGGGGGAGGGAGCAGGATCCAGGGTGCCTATGCAAATACATCCCTAAAGTCCAATTAATATTAAAGATGGCCCTGGATTAATTCATGCACATTACACAATTCTTTGAGTTTTATTGTTGAAGAGCTGTGTGATACACTCATAATAGTCATCTGGAGCTCTGTGATGCAAATTCATTGTTTATGTCTGCAAGGTTTATTGCTGTGGAGCTCTGTGAAACAAAGTAATGAGGCACACAAGAGTAAATTACTCAAATGTCTATGATGGACACATAAAGTTCAAGAAAATAACAGATTTTAATAGTTTAGTTACAACTGGTGTCCACATTATGGCTGGCCTTGGATTAAAGTCACTCTTGTTTAAACATTTACAGATTTGTAACCTTTACTTATATTCTCATTTTCCTTTTACGAACTATCTCACACCTTATTTAAAACATAGGATAAATTCCAAACCTGGATATAAATAATATAGAACATTTTTTAACACTTGATTGCAAAGTATTTTCAGAGCCTATATCTGCAATATGCTAAACTAAAATGGAAAAAATGTGCTGGTCTACGAAGATAAGACTTGAAAACTATTAGGATGCGGGGTTTCCAAAAATAAAACTGTTACAAGTGCAAAAGGAAACACAATGACAGAATAGCTTTGGGGTTTCAACACATAACATATGTATTAAAATTCTTAAAATGTTTAAAAATAGAATGCTCCCTCTTGTGTTTGAGTACCTGAGGTTAACTGAGCAAAAACTATTTTGAGACCTGAGCGGGGATGTACCGAAGGGCAAGCTAATGAGTTTACTCTAAGCTTTTATCCGTTCTCAGAGTTCTCATTCCTTCATTTTTGCTTTAGTGCATTAAATTGGCTCACCCCAAGTTAAAAGGGTAATCCAGACGTGGACCCTGTGCTCACTGTGCCTAGAGGGATATCAGCTATACCTCACTGATGAGGCCCAAAAGAAAGCCAAAATGATTGTCTGGGATTGCTGTATCTCTCGTGCAGAGGAAACTTGCTGGCATTTCGGATCTGGACTGCCCGTACTGGTGGGACCAGTCTGATAAGTTTCAGATATGTGCTCTCTGTAATGGCACAAGTGAGCAAAAACTATTTTGAGTTCTGAGCAGGGATGTACCGAAGGGCAAGCCATTGAGTTTACTCTAAGCTTTTGTTCGTTCTCAGAGTTCTCATTCTTTCTTTTTAACTGAACATAGATTAAAAAATAATCTTGGTGGTGCAGATTAAATGGCACTTCTTAATATTATTTTATATCAGATCAATTATTCAGTGGCAGAACTACCTTTGTGCTTATGCACCAGTGCCCGCACACTTTGGGGGTCCACGGGGGGTCCATGCACTTAGGGCCACCCGATGAGTATTGCTGAACAGGGGGCCAAGTCAAGGTAAAAGAAGCAAGCATAAAACAGTATTCTGATACACTTAACACATTTCACCAACAACTGGCTTTAGCAAGAAGTGTTTTGACACTTTTGATAAAGCCAATTGTTGGTGAAATACGTTAAGTGTATTAGAATACTGTTTTATGCTCGTTTATTTGACCTCTTAATGTTTTTTTTTTTTAAATAAATAAAAGTACTTTTTTATTGAACCTCACTGATTGCTGCTGGATTCACAAACACCTAAATCCTTGGTGGGGATAAAATACCACCTACAGCCACTGGTTTGAGCAAACCTTATTTTGTTCTACTACATAAGTCATTTAAAAAAAATCTATTTTACTTCTTCACTCCAGTTTTATGGTGTAACTATTTTGGTTTTATTCTCTTGTATGTTCACATACAGAGAGATACCATAATCACCTATATCCTAGAGTGGGGATCATACCATTAGAATGCTATACTTGTGGAACCAACGTTAAGGCTCAATAATATGTGATTGCACATTTTTTACTTTGTTTTATTTTTGCTATTTTGTCTTGCATACTGCACCACATTATTTTTAATTTTCTCCCTCCAACAAATCTATGAGAACATCCACTTATAGGATGACTACACGCAGATCCTGCACCACATTATATCCCTAGGCGGGGATCATTCCGCCCAATCATTCAAGCTAGAGCTGAACCTAAGCTCACAAAAAGTGTGAGTGGACTATTTTTATTAATTTTAATCTCACTGTACTTTACGTATTACACTATTGGTCTTTTCTTTATCATTACATATATTCTCAAGGACATATTAGGCGCTACACCAACCCTTCTGTTTCTTCTGTATATGAATTTGTGTCTATGTGTCAGTGTTTTTATATGTGGTAATGTGTATGTATGTATGTATGTATGTTTGTAAGAGTGTATCTGTGTAAGTGCATACATCCAAGCAAACACCAACACAACATGAAACACACTCCTGCAATCTAACACAAATATTACATACAAACACACCCCTGCATTCAAACTCCAAAATTATATACAAACACACCCCTTCACTCAAACATCTATACTACACACGCATGCACATCTGCATTTAAAAGCCAACATTACATGCATGAAAAGCACTGCAATCAAAGCAAAGATTACATACAAAACACAAACCTGTGCTAAAACACTACATTTATACACAAACACCCCTGCATTCAAACACCAACACTACACTCAAAAGCACGTTTGCAATTAAAAGCGAACACTAAATACAAACACATCCCTGCATTTAAACACAAACACACATAAACCACTTAATTCCAATGGCAGCAGTGCATGCAGACATATACTCTTAAAAACATGCTTACATTCAAACGCACAAACATGGCGCACAATTACAACCCTGCAATGACAGACAAATGGTAGATCCCTAGTTGGCATAGTATTGTTGGAGTTGTACGACAGATGAGGATGTAACTTTTGCCAATTCCTGCACTGGGGGGGAGGGGGGGGAGCCCAAAAAGCTCTCTACTTTAGTTGTGCCACTGAACTTATTCAAACTCCAGCAGAATATTGGACATACATGTTTTAGTGTACTGTGTTGGAGGTTTTATGTTATTATAAATAAATACATCACTAGAAATGATAAATATATTGTTTCAAGGGTCACAGTTAAAATAAACAAAATTATATGCATCCTTTCCACCAACGCAAGGCAGACTTTGATAGATCCCCAAGATTACGTTTGTTTACACATCTGTCTTATTCACCAGACATGCAACACTGCATGTATGCAATAGCACTCTATGCCATGAAACATGAGGATATGAAATATCCAAGTGAGTCATCGCCAACAGTAAATGGCTGGAAGATTGAGAAATAATCAAGATGCACAGTTTGCATGTGAATTGATTTATAAAGATAGTTTACAGGACAGGATACAAGTCAAGCAAAGCCATTTGTAAACTCAAAAACAGATACCACAAAGTTATACTCTCACCGACACACACAACTGAATATGTTATGTATCTACTGACAGATTCATTGCCACAATATGCCAAATAAAAAGATCTTCATTCACAAATGTACTAGTAGTAGTTGATTTCTAACTTAGAGAAATACATAGAGGATACATCATAGTGAGGAGCAGATTGTGGAATAGTAATGCCACAGAGGAGTTCTGGAGACATTCTCAGTCTTATTCAATCAAGAGAGAATTGAAATTAAAAGACAATTTCATATTTACGTTAAAAACAAGCTGAATTAGAAAAAAAACTGAAAGTACGCTTTGAATTTAGTTTGATTGTTTTGGTTTACAATTTGAAATTCACATTGAATTCAAGAAACACTATAGTGTTGGGAATACAAACATGAATTTCTAATGCTATATTCTCCTAGTCCATATTTAGACGCAGGGCCTTGTTCCTTTTAACCTGTAAAAATAAGAGAAAAAAGGTTTTACTTAATTTTTTCCAGCACGGAGACTTACTTAGTACTACAACCTGCTCCTTCTCAAAAAATGCTCTGCATCCAGTCTAATGCTTCACATAGTGTCCAATCAAAATGCTCTGCATCCATTCAAATGCTTCACATAGTGTCCAATCAAAATGCTCTGCATCCAGTCAAATGCTTCACATAGTGTCCAATCAAAATGCTCTGCATCCAGTCTAATGCTTCACATAGTGTCCAATCAAAATGCTCTGCATCCAGTCTAATGCTTCACATAGTTTCCAATCAAAATGCTCTGCATCCAGTCTAATGCTTCACAAACTCAAAATGCTTTGCATCCAGTCAAATGTTTCTCATAAGTTAAGATTAAACCCAGTGCTTTCCTATGAGCTGCATTTGATGGCGATTGACATCATCATAGATGACACATGACCGAGTGAAACTTGTGGCTGTAAAGACTGTAAGAAGAGAGGCGTGCTTAACCCTTCAAGAGATCTAGGTGCTTTTAATGGTTCTATCACATACATTTTAACTTTAGTGAATAACCTTGACATATGTGGCCTTTGATTTTTTTCCCCAGAACTCCAGCATTAGCTATACAGAGCATTAGCTTCCTATAATACATGTTTCAGTGTTATAGGTTTTTTGTCAATAAATTACTTTTTCAGATTAGGGCTATGTTTCCATCAAGCTCAGGACAACACCAGGACATATATGCCCCAGCCTGACTAAGATTGGTGGACATCCCACTCCCAGATACCATTTGAGAATTGCAGTAGCCACCACTAATTGCACACTTCTCCTGTTACTGAAAAAATATATGTCCAGCAGGGCCGGACTGGGAAAAGAATTCGGCCCGGGCATTTTTTAATCACAGCGGCCCACTGCGAAGGGGGCGGGGCCAGAGGGGGGTGTTTTGTCATCACCAATGGCAAGAACGCCCCATGTCAAAGTGAGCATGGTGGTTCAATGCTCTTTTAGGGCAGACCATGCGCAGAGCTCTGCTGAAGAGCTCCAGCATGAGAAAAAGGCCCTGTATTTGTTCTGCGCAGCGCAAGCATTTTTATTAACATGCTTGCGCTGTGTTTGCTTGTAACTTGTCTCTGGTGTCTCGTAAGTGGGATACCAGGAGACAAAGACCCAGGAAAGAGTATTGTGCATTTGTTTGGAGCCTGCTTGTAGGATTGTGTGTGTGTAGAGTGAGCTGATTGTGGTGTGATGTTGTGTAAATAGGTCGATTTCAGTTGTGTTTGTAGGGTAATGTGTGGCTAGCGGCTGTAAAGAGTGAGAGAGTGTATAGGGAGCATAGTGTGTATAGAGGTTGTAGAGTGTGTTTGTTTAGGGGATGTAGTATGTTTGCTTACAAGGAATCTAGTGTGTGCATAGGGGATCCAGAGTTTGCATATCAGGAATGTAGTGTGTTTAGATGATCCAGAGTTGTGTAAGGGATCTAGTGTGTGTTTGGAATGTAATGTGTGAATGAGGGGTGCTGTGTGTGAGGGTGTTGTTTGTGTGAGAGGTGCAGTGTGCGAGGGTGTGGTTTGTGTGTGTGAGGGGGCACTGTGTGTAAGGCTTCAGTGTGTGTGTGTGTGAGGGGTTCTGCTTGTGAGGTGCTGCATGTGATGGGTGCTGTGTGTGCCGTGTGTGTGAGGGTGCTACATGTGAGGGGTGCTGTGTGTACCATTTGTGAGAGTGCTCTGTGTGTATGTGAGGGGTGCAATGTGTGACGGTGCTGTTTGTGTGAGGGGTGCTGTGTGTGTGTGTATGTGAGGGGTGCAGAGTGTGAGGGGTGCAGGACCCAGAGCGTGAATAGGAGATCTATGTATGTTTGTGTGCATAGAGGATTCAGAATGTATTTAGGGATTTAGTGTGTTTAGATGATCCAGAGTTGTGTAAGGGATCTAGTGTGTGTCTGGAATGTAATGTGTGTATGAGGGGTGCTGTGTTTGTGTGTGAGGGGTGCAGTGTGCGAGGGTGCAGTTTGTGTGTGTGATGTTTCAGAGTGTGTGTGTGTGTGTGTGTGTGTGAGGGGTGCTGCGTGTGTGGGTGCTGTATGAGGAGTGCTGTGTGTGCCATTTGTGTGAGATTGCTGTGTGTGTATGTGAGGGGTGCTGTGTGTGTGGGGTGGGAGGTGCTGTGTGTGTGAGAGAGGGTGCTGTGTCAGTGTGTGTGCTCGTGTGTGTGAGGGGTGCTGTGTCAGTGTGTGTGTGTGTGTGTGTGTGTGAGTGGGGTTCTGTGTGAGGGTGCTGTGTGTGTGTGTATAAATATGTTTGGAGGTATTGTGTGTGTGGGGGTAGGGGGAAAGATTAATGTAACTATATATGTTTTTATTTTAATTTAAAAAGCACTGTATCCCCCCCTCCCTTCTTACCTTTTGCCTGGGAGTGGGAACCGCACTGCCATCCCTGGTGGTCCTAGTGGTGAGAGTGAACTCTAACCTGCAGGGCTAGAGTTAACTCTCACGAGATCGGAGCGTTGCCATGGTAACCGTGGCAACTTTCTGATCTCACAAGAGGACCCTGGCGGAGCTGCAAGCTAGAGCTCCCCAGGTCCTCCTCTCTTCTCCTCCCCCAGCCGGCGGCTGCATGTCAGTGACTGTGGGCCGGTGAGGAAGATCTTTGATCTCCCCACCGGCCCATGAAGGCACACAGCAGGGCTGGCTTTTGATCTCCCCTGTCGACCTCGGCCCATGGCCATCACGGCCCACTGGGCATTTCCCTGGTTTGCCTGATGGCCAGTCCGGGCCTGATGTCCAGCCATCCTCCTTAGGTGTAATGAAATCTACCTTGTTATTGCTATTGCAATATTTGTCAAGCTGCTAGGACCTCATTTTCCCCACTTACCAGAAACAATTGCGGTTTAGTCTCTACATCAGATTTGCACAACTTGGCAGTTGGTAGGGAAAAAAAAAAAAAAAAAATCAACTTCTTTGGGCCACAGATAGGTTAATTGTTAAACTATTGTACAAATAAACCATATTATAATAATTATTTTGCTAAGCAGAACAAGTTTGAATATATTTTTCAGGTTTCCTTACCGTGGGATAAATTCAGCAATCATTTTATCATACTTATCGATATTTCAAAATATCTTCTCCTCTTTGTCTCCACCACCAGCCTATGTTTGTCTCTTTTGCCCCGTCCCCTTTGTGTCTTTGTCCTCCTCAGCCCCTCTGTGTCTCTTTCTCCCCCAGCCCCTTCTGTGTATCTCTTTCTCAATTTCCCAACCTCTCTGTGTACCTCTTCTGTCTCTTTTGCCCCTTCCCTAGTTGATGTCTGTCTCTTTTTCCCCTTACCCATACCCGGGTCTCCTTCCCGCCACTGTCTCTCTTTTGCCCCTTCCTAACACCTTTCTGTCTCTTCTGCCTGTTCCCCAACCCCTCTGTGACGGTTTGTTTACCCCCAGCCACTCTGTGTCTTTTTGCCTCACAGCCCCTCAGTGCCTGTTTTTGTCCCCCCCAACCCCTCTGTGCTCGTTAGTCTTACCCCAGCCTCTCCGTGTGTCTACTAGCCCGTATGTACCTGTTTGTGTGTCCTCCACCCCTCTGTGCCTTTCTGTTTCACCCCCAGTCCCTCTGTGCTCTCTCTTGTAGCATGGTCAAGCCTCTGACTGGGGTAGAGGACCTCCTGGAACGTCTCCCTGGTCTTACAGAAAGCAGTTCCGTTGTCTAAGTGAGCACTTCCTGTTAGACCAGGTAAAGGTTACAAGAGCTCCTCTCCCCCTGTCCGCTGCTCAGCCATGCTACACAGGAGTGACTGGCTGGAGGGGAGCACTGTGCAGTGCTCTCACCTCCTGCTAGACAGCTGGAGACTGCGCCCTAAAGCGGCTGCCTGTGCCGCCTTAAGGTAGCGCCAGCCCTGCAATTTTGCAGATGGCACAAAATCCCCACGGGTATGTTGTGCAGGCTTGCTCTACATCTTCTGTTGCAGACATGCCTGAGAGCTTCAGCTTCCTTACAGACTCTTACATCCCACTGCTGCACTGAGATTGGGGATATTGTATTGCACAATTACCACGGATACTCCAGCACATTTTCAATTTCTCAGTGTCCCTTTATTAAAGTGCACAGCAGATACAGAGCAACGTTTCAACCATTAACTAGTCTTTATCAGGTTGATAGTGACCAGTTAATGGTTGAAACTTTGCTCTATATCTGCTGTTCATTTAATAAAAAGACACTGACACTAAGAACTGAGGATGTGCTGGAGTATCTTTTAACTTTGATATTTTATTGCACTATGCCAGTCACACCACGTGATACAATTTTTATTGCCCAGTGTAACGTCATCCAAGGTGTATGTAATATGGTATTTGGAATCGTGATTTCACACAGGTAGATGACGCAATTACACAAACATACACATGATCTATTTATCTGATTCTATATAGAACAGAAGATAAAGGTAAAAATGGTGAGAAATCTGGGTTAATGTGTAAAGAGCACGACTCTGCTTGATTTTGTGTCTCGACATTACATTTGCTGGGACTTATGTTCTCCAAACATTATAAGGATATTTATTTACTTTTAGGTAACACAGCATAAACCGGACATTCCTATCTATTTTAAACAATATGATATGCAAAGTATTTGGCATTTCCCAAAACAAAAATGCTATATACCATAGAAGGAAAACATGTTCTCTAATATTAGACAAATGGAGAACATCTCTATTTAACGTAAACATTTCCATATTTAACCCCTCCAGGCTTAAAGGGACACTCCACCGCCCAAATAAATAACAATCAATGTTTAGTAGATATACCTCAAATGAAAACTGGCATGCATTTACTTATGCATTTTTTCATTGGGGATATATCTGAAATCAGCTTGCAAAACCTGAAGTTCTCTTATTTTCTGCTCTACCATTCTAATCCCGCCCAGACTGTCTGTGGCTGTCCAATCACAGACTCCCATTGCAGCTCAATGAGAAATCGTTGTAAGTCAGGTGCTAACTAAACCAGGAAGTAGAACTAGCTGTTGTCTGCTTGAAAGCCAAGGGGGTGTAACCAGGTTAATTTATAAAAATTACAATTTCTATTGAAGCCTGCACTTTATGGAAAATGAAGAAAAAGGGGACACACATAAAGCTTTCCAGCAAGCTAAAATTGTTTAGGAGTCTGGAGTAACCTTTTAAGCTTAGACAAATTCTTTGTTATAGTGACAATCCGGACCGGTCACTGGTTACAAAGGGGTTAATAAGCATGACTTGTAATGCAATGACCACCAACACATTCTTACAATTAACGCGATTGTAAAGTAGACATAAAGGTGCCAAAAAAACGAATAAAGGGTTATGTTGTAGTTTTTTTTTTTTTATATTCTTTTCTAAAACTAGGTATATCTGGTTTGGTTACAAGCGGTTACATCTGTGTAGTTGCTGCAAAAATACAAGCTGTTCAGAGGCTAATAAAATGAATTTGAAAACATAAAAGCTTTAAGTTCTTTAACTTATCGTGCTTTGATAAGGGTTTCAGTTTCATCGCTGGCTTGCTCGCTGATATTCTGCCCACCCTTTGTCACTGATCCGGACGCAGACACTACTATTCCTATATTATTTGCTAATAGTTTCTGTCGCTGTGCAATGGCTGCACAGGCTACCACCACCTCATCACTTTCAAAGTCATAGTCAGGGATTAATTCCTGCTCAGCATTGATTTCTTTGGTATTAATTTTTATTTTCTCCGCTTTCCCAGCTACTTTCTTCTGTTGGAGTAGTTTCAGGGCCCATGTGAGATCTTCTTCCCATAATTCGCTGTTTGCTGGATAAAGGTGTATTCCAACTTGGAAGCTTCGAATTGCCTATAGAAAAGAAAACACATAATAAACTTAGACAATAGTAATATAGAGCCATAAAATATATTTAATAGAACATTCCAAGAAATGGTTTATAGATCTTCAACATTAATAAATAAATAATATGTATATTGAAACAAATAAATGAATGGGCCTATATTAGTGACACTAAATATTTCTAGAATTTATGTGAAAATAAAAATGACACGAACAGCTTAGAATGGAAATGTATCTTCGCAGATACATGTCATTTTACATGGACAGCCATGTGAAGTGAAGGAGAAGCATACTAGCAGCATCAAAGCCCAGCTTTAAAATTCAGCAAGAGCGATTTCAGAAGCCGTGGACACCTGTTACCTGTACTAATAATCTACGCAGAGTGCAGTGGCAGGCACTTATTGATGGAACTGTAGTAATAAGCAAGGTAGGGCAGATATAAAAACAAGGCTCTCACTGTGGGAAGCAATGAGTGACTGCAGCTAACTGGAGCAGAGTGCATGCCTTGTGTATAAGAGTGGAAGTTTGGGAGCAGGAAACAGGAGTGTAACCATGTCTACCCCACGACAAGCTGCTTCTTTTTTTATAGGGACACTCCAGACCCTAAAGCACCCCAGCTTGCTGCCGTGCTTTATTTGTGAAGAGAGTGTCCTTTTTCATTTTACAAAAAGTGCAGGTTTTAATAGAAACTGGCAACAGAACTTGTTTCACCTTCCTGGTTGTCAGACTACTTCCTGGTTGTTTAACTTAGTGGAGCTAAATTTAAGAGGCAGGAATTGCCTAGAGCACCTGTCTTGCAAAGACTTCTCATTGAGCTGCACTTGAATGTCTGTGATTGGACAGCCACAAAAAGTCTGGGCGGGGTTAGAAGAGGAGGGCGTGCGAGGGCTGCAGAAGAGAGATCTGTAGCTTTTGCAAGTTGTTTTTTGATATATCACAATGAAAAAAATACACAACTAAATGCATGTTTGCATTGGAGGTATATCTAGTAGTGACTTTTCTTTTTCTTTTTGGCCAGTGGAGTGTCCCTTTTAACATGTCCTTTATCATTTATCATTATCATCCCATATTCATTATGGACAAGCTGGCAGAGTTTTAATGGAAACTTTTTGCTCATAATCATATGCTGTCATCTTTCTGCAGACCCCTTCTCCTGGCATGTTAGTAATGTAAATAGATATTGAGCATGCAATGATGCACCATTTACTTCAGTGGCATTTGAACTAAAGGCATACTAGTGCCAAAACCACTATAGTCTTTTTTTAGTAGTTATAATGCAGGCACTGTTCCCCTATTCTCTGAAACTGAAGACACCCAAGGGACCTGTCACCCAGTCCCCCATTCCCAACATTACGATCATGGATGCTACACTTCCTTGTTGGCAATATATATATAATTTCATCCATACTTGCATAACATTGACTGGCTGGGAAAGTCATGCAAGGATCTGG